AAGACTGAGAAAAATTGTGGTGATGACAGCTAAGCAAAATTTGCTTTCAATATTTCTCCTTTAATATATAGAAGATATTATTGAGGATAAAATATATTTTTATGAATTAGGCGAACCGGCTAATGTCACGAGCTCTATTGGTGGTTATTCCTTGGATATATTTGGGTTAATTAGCAATGGCCAAAATAATTTTAATAGGTAAATCAATCAAAGACTAATCTCTATCCTAGGTATCACATTTTGTTATCCGGGATGATCTAGGTCAGAAACTGAATAATCAAACATACATGTACTCCTCATCAGAACACGAAGACGGCACATAGATCCTGAGTTTTCGTAGCAAAAACTCAGGCTAGATATGAAATTATTTAGGCGCTAAGTTCAAGTTCTTCATATACTATAGTTTGAATCTTCGGTCACATGGTAAAAGCATGCTAGGATAAAAAGGCAGGTGGTTTATATCCGAAAAACGATTCAAGCAGAAAAAACTGATTCCAAGGGAACAACGTCGTCAGACGCTACTAAAGGTACCGAAAACACCCCTTATCGTGTTTTCTGACTTTCACGTGTTTATTAACTGTGTAGGAACTAGTTTTTCTAGAATTGTTTAAGAAGATTAATAGTATATGTATATATATGTATGCGTGCGCATCAATGTGGTCTCGTCTCGTACGTAATCAAATGGACACGACAGTGTTTTATGGCTGTAATCCAACTTTGAAAATTTAAGGCTGCTTTTAACACCCTATCGTACCAAGTAATGCTCCATTTCTGTTTTCTAATATATTTTATTTCCCTCAGTTTGTATAAACCTAAATTTGTATCATAATTTTACAATCTATCCAGATCCAATACCCACTCGAAAATTGGGATCATTATTAGGACCCTAAACAAACGCAAAATAAACTGTATGCTATTTAAGTGGTTAAATAATTTATGATGGGGTAATGAGTGTAGGGTTCAGTATTTTTTTTGTTTTAAACTATGATTTTAGTAATAGTTGACAACTATAGATTCTTTAAATTAATAGAAAAAAAAAATCGGCGCTCGACAAATCATAAGAACTAGGTGTTACCCGCGCGCATGCGCGGACAAGTGATTCATTAATATATTATCAACGAATTAAACATAATATTTTGTTTACCCATTCATTTTTCAAAAATATATAAATCAAATTGTATAGGATCGTTTATACTATGTATCTTTAATCGCATCCATTTGTTAGAAATATATAGTTTAAATATATTGATATGTATTGATTGGAGACTAATTCTTAAAAAACATACTTGTTTTATGTTTGCTAAAAATCTCTCCGCAAATATAAAGATTGACAAAATTAATAAGGTATACAATATTAGAAATGAAGTTAATACAATAGTATTTTGGTATTATCCCCGCGTATGACATTCGAATTTGTTATTATTCTCCTTAAACATAAGTTAATACAATAGTCATTTTGGTATTATCCCCGTATCTATCTCTTTCTTCTATGCTTTATGTTTTGTGTTTGTAGTAGTTTCTTTGATGGCCTTTGCTTCATACTTTGTAAGCAATTTCTCCCTTTCACTACAAGAAAAACTGTTTTTAGCCACAATATACCCACAACAATTTTCGTAGCCTCGACCAAATAGCCACAAATGAGGCAACTTTGTGGCTAACTTTATTTTCGTAGCTATTTGTGGNTATTTTGTGGCTATTTAGCAACGATTTCGGGTTTGTGTCAAATTGTCTCCTTTTTACTACAAGTAGCAACAAAATTGTTTTGTGGACATTTGCCACAACCTAGCTACACTTAATGTCGTGGAAATNGAGACACAATACAAAATTGTGGCTATTTGTGGCTAAATGAAAATATCTAGCATGTCGGCAAAAATTATATGAACTGTAATCATTGATCAGACAACTTTACTGATTGATATGATGGCTATGTTGATTTTTCTTATCATCCAATTCACGGGAATTTGGGAGAGGAATATATTCGTTTTAGCCACAACCCATTCGTGGCTATTCGTGGATATAACCTGATTATAAAACCCCACGAACTCAGCATTGTTTGATAAGAAAAACAAAAGCAATAACAAATGTCTAAATTTTTAGAATCTAGGGAGTGGATGTATAAACGATTTTCAGATTCTAATCGAAACTATGTTTCAAAAGAATTTGAAGAGGGAGTAAATTTTTTTNTTNNTTTTNCTCGTTGTCATCCTTCTTATTTGGAGCGGCAAGATTTACAATGTTCGTGTAAGAGCTGCAAAAACCAATCG